GCATGTGGGATCTTCTCGGACCGGGTCACGAACCCGCGTCCCCTGCATTGGCAGGCGGATTCCCAACCACTGCGCCACTAGGGAAGCCCCGGAGTCCATCATTTTTATCTACTGTTACCCAATACATGAATTAGATGACTCCTTTTTCTATTTGTATCATCCCCTAAAGAAAAAGAAATTGTCATACCATGAGCCAATTTATGAAATTGCTAGCTCTCCTCTCCCTTCAAAGAAGGGTTAGGAACTTATTCCTACTTTTTCTGGGCGCGTCAGTAACTTAAGGGCTGGGGCATGGCACGTGAATGGTGATGAAAATCAGTTCTTGATGGAAAGTTGCAGTGTTTGATTTAGTGGTATAGTAGTTGGAACACGTGGGCAAGGGACTTCCCTGGTGGTGCAGTGGTTATGAATCCGCCTGCCAATGCAGGGAACATGGGTTCGATCCCTGGTCCGGGAAGATCCCACATGCCGCGGAGCAGCTAAGCCCGTGTGCCACAACTACTGAGCCTGTGCTCCAGAGCCTGCGAGCCACAACTACTGAAGCCAGTGCACCTAGAGCCTGTGCTCTGCAACAAAGAGAAGCCACCGCAATGAGAAGGCCGTGCACCGCAATGAAGAGTAGCCCCCGCTTGCCGCAACTAGGGAAAGGCCGCGCACAACAACGAAGACCCAGCACAGCCAAAACTAAATAAATAACTTTATTTAAAAAAATAAAAGTGTGGGCCAGAAAGCTCATCATATTTTCTCCAAGTTCCATTTGTTTTTTGAATAAGTTGATTTTTCATATGTATGTTACATGTTTCAAAAATTGAAAATACATAAAAAGACGTAGGAACTCTTGATCCCACCCATGACTGAGTAACCACTCTTCCACTACCACCTGGTCTTATAGGTCACCCTTATATCAATTTCTTATTTATCTTTCTAGTGTTTTATACAAAATACAGGAAACAAATAGAAATATATACTTTTTAAAAAGTCTCTTGTATAGGAGGTATTTGAACATAGCTTTTTTCCATTTGCTATGTACGAGTGATATTTCCACAGCCCTATGTAGAGAATTCCTCATTTTCTTTGACAGTAGTATGGTTCCCATTTCACTGTGTGTGGTTTTCACTGTGTCGGGTTTCCGTAATTTATTTAACTGGTCCTTACTGATAGACATTTGGGTTGTTTATATAACCTTTTGCGCTTTTTTTCCCTTTTAAATTTATTTATTTATTTATGGCTGTGTTGGGTCTTCGTTGCTGCGCACAGGCTTTCTCTGGTTGGGGCGAGCGGGGGCTCCGCTTCATTGTGGTGCGCGGCCTTCTCATGGCAGTGGCTTATCTTGTTGCGGAGCACGGGCTCTAGGCGCACGGGCTTCAGTAGTTGTGGCTCGCGGGCTCTAGAGCGCAGGCTCAGTAGTTGTGGCGCACGGGCTTAGTTGCTCCGCGGCATGTGGGATCTCTCCGGACCAGGGCTCGGACCCATGTCCCCTGCATTGGCAGGCGGATTCCCAACCACTGTGCCACCAGGGAAGCCCCCATAACTTCTTAGAGTAGAAAAATCCCTCCTTTTTATAGACTACTCTAGTCCTGATATTTAATATAGGAAGCTCTGGGACTACCCTTTAGGGTCATCAAAGGGCCACAGCGGGCTTCCCTGGTGGCGCAGTGGTTGAGAGTCCGCCTGCCGATGCAGGGGACACGGGTTTGTGCCCCGCTCCGGGAAGATCCCACGTGCCGCGGAGCGGCTGGGCCCGTGAGCCATGGCCGCTGAGCTTTCGCGTCCGGAGCCTGTGCTCCGCAACGGGAGAGGCCACAGCGGTGAGAGGCCCATGTACCTACAAAAAAAAAAAAAAGAAAGAAGGCCAGAGCTTTTTTTTCTGGCTTTGCAGTTTTAGGAAACTAGTGCGTTGATTCACCCCCTCAGCCTCACAAAACTGATCCCCAAAACTGTAATGTCTATTTATTTACAGTGGAGGATATCTTTAAAGGCACTGAAATAGAGGTAAGCAGTCATCTCCTTCAACTATCAAAGTAAGAGGGTGATTGAATTAGGATGACCTTTTGGGACGTAACCCAAATCACACAGATTTAGGACCTTGATGTGTGGAAGCTGGAACAGGTTAAGTTAAATAGAACTGGAATTAGACGAGGATTCAAAGCTTTTTCAACTGTTCTTAGACTGTGGTAACTTTTAGCCCTTGTCCTATTTTATGCTCGGTTGACTTAGACACATTTTTCTCCTAAAATAGTGCTTTGAAAATTGTAGGGGCTTAGTTATTTAATTCATCCAACAAACCTCCGCCTTATATGTTCCAGGTACTTTTACTAGTTGCTGGTCTTAACACAGAGTAGATGAGTAGTAATAATAGGCCTCACCATGTATGTGGCACTGTTGTAGGTATACTATATACAATAAAGAATTTAACTCTCACAACCGTATGTGGTAAGTACTGTTTTTATCACCCTCATTTTACAGATGAGAAAACAGGTCCTGAAAAGTAACTTCCCAAGGTTACTCAGAGGGCAGCGCTGAGATATGAACACCTGGCAGCTGGACTTCTGAGTCTGGGTTCGTAGCTGTTACCTCTTTGGCGTCACCCATTTTTACCACGGCGCATTTCAGTGTTCTTTTTAATCAGTCCCCTGATGCTTTTGTGAGCTTATGTGTGGAAGAACCTATCACAAAACAGTCTCTTAAGGAGTTGATTTTTAAGGTTGGGTTTTCTAGTTAGATACGGGTGTAGTTCCAGTCTTAGCCACATTTACCTTCGGGGGAGTCTAGTCTAATCTAAAGGGCTAGCACAAGATTTTCGTTGTTGTTGAGTTTAATTCAAGAAGGAGATATTTTCTGAACCTGGCCCCTAAATCCTAGGCTGTGCCTTGCAGGACACTAGTGTCAGCATTGCTGCTTTGGGAAGAATAGAGAAGGACCCGTCTGTCTTTGCTTTGAGGGCCAGCTAGTTACAGTAAATTTCTGGGACTAAAGTGTGAGAAAGCAGGGCAGTAGCGCTTTTTCTGCCTAGAGCCAACTAGCTTGGAGGACTTGAGACCCGCAACCTGACTTCTTCCCTTATGGCTTATGAAACAGAGCATATAAGGTTTTCTGCGAATGTTAAATGAGTACACTTGAAAGTAGTTTGAAACTCGCCAGACATATACAGTTGGCAGGTATTGTCAGTCTGACCATGAAAAGCATCTTTCAAAAGTTAGATGGTTTTCTCTGGTTACGAAAAAAGATTTGTTTTTATTAGACCTTGTCTCTAATGTGAAAACAGGAGCTATTATCAATGTGGTCTGTAGTTGACTGTGGTGAGTTAAGATTTGCAGTAAAATAACTTAGGGAGGAAACATACAACGCGGTCCTTAGTATTCACATTCAGTTTGCAAATTCCAAGAAGGCGGATCTGAAAGTTGAGGATCAAGCGCTGGTGTTGGACTTTCAGCAGGGTCCCTAGGTGCCTTTCACAGAGGAAAAGAATCTGTATAGGCAAAAGACCCACACTCCAAGTCTTTACACTCTTTTCAATGCTTGGGCAGGCCTATCTCAGGATTTTGGACAGGAATACGGCTCAGCCAACAATAAGGGCCTTACTATGTGCCCGCTACCTTGTGTTAGAGTCAAATGTTTCTTTGGGTTCCTTCTCAGTCCCCATTATACCTCCTCTGTGTTGCTAAAAGTCCTCTGACTCTGAGAATGTGATGAATGTGCCACGTGACAACTTTATCATCCTTAATCACTCCCTTGGTCACTCAGCCAATCTCTGATTTGGCCACCCGTCAGGCCTTGCTTCCCAAGCTTTTCGGGAACCTCGGTATATAAAAGGCACATGGTCTAAGCTTATGGAGGGCAAACCCTAGCAGACATTTTCAAATGCAGCAAGCAAAAGAAAACAAACCCCCCCAACTGCTCAGTCATCACATGAAAGCAGTAGACCTTCCGAGCTGACATTTGCCACCTCATTAATTATGGGAAGCAGATACAGAGGGGTGAAGTGACCAGGAATCTATCCCACACCTCAAAGAATAGGTCACTGCTACACTGTACAGGAGAGATGGTGGCAGTGGGAGGGGCAGGAGGGGACATGATTAAATAGATCTAGTAAAAATACTTCGGTGGTGGCAGCGACAGCCTTCACTCCTACCGCTGTATCTTTTTTTAAAAAGATCCTATTTCCGAGACAAAGGCAATGTGACCTAACTCAATATTTCCTGAGATTGCCGGATGCTAAGAATTGCTCAAGAACACTTGTTATACACACATTCTCGGGACACTCCATTGGAGTTCGATAGGTCTAGGACAGGACCTGGGAACAATCACCGTGAGCATTTCTTCCAAGTTAGGGTGTTTCAATAAAGAAAGTGTTAAAAGACTACAAATTAGGATGTTTTAACAAAAAGAATTCAGGATACCGTTTTGTGCAGTCTTAAGCTTAAGGATAGTATCACCCCTACCACATAACATCCCCTACCACATAACATCCTCTACCACATAACAGACAAATTAAAAATCCTGTCCTACAGAAATGTCCTTTTTCCTCCTCGTTCCTTACGTCTTTTATCTGTCACCATCCCTAACGTAGAGCTGGAGTAGTTTTCCTCCATCCTAGCTCTGGGAGAAACAGGCTCTACGCGGAACCGGTTGGGCCCCGGGCCACGTCCCTGTCCCGCGGCCGTCCGCTCCCGTGCCGCGCTCCCATTGGTTGAAAGTTCCCTCGTCCGGAGCCCGAGCGGTCCCTACTCGCCACGCCAGCCCATCCGAATCCTCCCGCCCAGGGGGCGGGGCCAGGAGGGCGGGGCGGAAGGAGGGCGGGGCCTCGCGGCGCTGGAGACGTACGGGTGGCCTATGGCGCGGGAGGGGGTCAGCTGCCGCGCCCCGCGAGGCCGGGCCGGGGCCGGGCCAATCCGGGCGACGGGGCGGGCGAACGTGGGGCCTGGCCGCCCGGGCCCGAGGTGCTGGGGGTGTGGGGATAATGGGCCAGTTCCTGGTGCGTCACGAGGGAGTTCCTTAAAGGGGAAGTGAGCGGAGCTACTGGGTGGACGTGGGGTGCGGTGGTCGGCGGGGAAGGCCCCCCGCGTTTGTAAATAATGCCCGCGGTGCCCGCGCGACCATGCAATGGCGAGCGTTCGTCCTGGGGCTGGTGCTCCTCCGGCTTGGCCTCCACGGAGTGCTGTGGATCGTCTTCGGGCTGGGGCCCAGCATGGGCTTCTACCAGCGCTTCCCGCTCAGCTTCGGCTTCCAGCGCCTGAGAGGCCCCGACGGCCCCGAGTCTCCCGCCTCGGGGCCCGCGGGCCGGCCCGGGACGCCCGGGGGGCCGTCGGGGCCATCGTGGCTGCAGCCGCAGGTCCCTGGGGCGGCGGCGGGGCGGCGGCGGGCTCCGCGTCGGCCCGGGCCGGACGTCTGCGGGCCAGGCCACTGGGGCTACGTGCTGGGCGGCCGGGGCCGCGGCCGGGACGAGTATGAGAAGCGCTACAGCGGCGCCTTCCCGCCGCAGCTGCGCGCCCAGATGCGCGACCTGGCGCGGGGCATGTTCGTGTTCGGCTACGACAACTACATGGCGCACGCCTTCCCCGAGGACGAGCTCAACCCCATCCACTGCCGCGGCCGAGGACCCGACCGCGGGGACCCGTGAGTAGCCCGCGCCGGCCCGACGCCCAGGACCGTGCGCCGCACGCGCTTCCTTCCGTTCTCCCGGCGGGTGCAGCCTTCATTCCTCCGGGTCCCCCCATTGGTGCCCGGGCGTTTAGGGTCCTGGGGGCAGCGCCCACCCGTCCTGCGCCTCGGCTGACCGACCCCCTTTGAGGTCGGCCTGGGCTGGGGGTTGCGTGGACGGCCCGGTGGCTGTCCTTCTCTTGCTTCTCCTGGAATCTCTGTTACTGGACAGCTGCCAGCTCAGTCTCTTTTACAGATGGGGAAACTGAGGCCCAGAGACCGGAAAGGACAGTGGCAGTACCGAGGGGTGGCTTGGGGGGGCCTTAGACTTCCGTCTCCAATCCTTTCTCCAAGTGAAAGTCAAATCAAAATGAAATCCCTTGTAAGCGCAGCTTCGAAACGGCGCTTATCTCCCTCCACCTAGCCAACTCCAACTTTACCGTATAAAGATATAAAAATTCAGGAGTTGACCCTGAGAAGGGACTTTCTAAAGCCACCTAGTGAGTTTGAGGCAGAGCAGGGCTACAGCCTTTCTCCTTTATCACAGGGGTGGCTCCTTAGGCTGAGGATGGTTAGGTGGAAGGGAGAGAGAGAGGCTGGGTGGCCCAGATTTGGGGTCCTGATGCTCAAGATGACATTCCTTGCTCTGTAGGGTCTGTTCCATAAATTCCCCCACCCTGGTGGCAGGGCTGTCAGGGAAGATCTACCAGCCTTTCCCCTTCCATCAGCCGTGTTTGCAGAGGCTGCGCTTCAAGGGTTACTGCTGTTGACATCAGAGTCCAAGAGGACAGCACACCCAGCCAAGGACCTCCTAGCTGGAGGGAACCGGTGTGCCTTGACACTGACCCTGTTAGGCTGGATATGACTGCCTTTCTCTCGGCCGCTCCCCTCAGCTGGCAGTGGAGGAGTTGAGCTGCTTGGTCCCTTTGGACATTTGAGGCCTGTGTTTTCCTTCACCTGATGAAAAGCAGTAGAGTCCAGTCCTTAGGTCCTAAAAAGGAAGCCCATACACTAAAGGGACTTAAGGAGTTTTAAAAATGGTTGGATTATCTACAGATTCTTGTCTTAAATTGCATTTGGAGAGCATGATTTTTAGTGAAGCCAGGGGGACATCCCAGGTTAACTTAAAAAAGACTTGGCCTTTTTAAAGTTGTAGGAAACTGATGAGTTATATTTTTCATGTTTCACTGTGTCAGCCTTTATACATAGAAATGTATTTTCTGTCTCAATTTTTTTTTTTTTGAGAAAAATTTTAAGTAAGTTTTTTAAAAAAAAAAGTACTAGGCCTTTCCAGATTTTAGGAAATTGAGTTGTTTTGCTTCTCTAGTTTTCTTTGCTTGGGGAGGACATCTGCTGACGAGTGGTTTGGTTTGACTGTTCAGTGACAGTCTGGATAAGTTGAGGTCAGGTTGCTTTGAGACAGATATACTGCTTTTGGAAAGATGGAATTCGAGATATTGAGGGGATGCCATGTGGGAAGGGTTGTGCCCTTTCGGTTGGTCAGCCTTGGTGTCTTTGAGAAGGTGAAAGAGCTCTGGGGTTATGGTAGCCTTGAGTAGACCCTCACGCTGGCCGCTTGTAAAGAGTGGAAAGTTAATTTTTCTTAGTCCTTTTCCTTTCACTTAACTCCTCTCAGACTTTAGTGTTTTCAGGAAAAGAGCAGGCCACATTTACATCCCTGAAATAAATAACTGGTAATAAAAAGTCTTTCAGATATTTATTTTAAGCAAATGTATTCTAATGATTACTGTCAAGTGAATTCTAATGACTCACTTAAAAAAGAGAGTAACTTAGCCATTAGAATATTATGTAAAAAGTACAGAAACAAAGCATGAGTGCTAAATGTGCCTGTCTTCTCTTTTTAGTCACGTTTATTTGAGGCTTATTTTACCTGTCTTGTTTGACTGGAGGTAGGATGAAGAGTATTGACATGAAGTAAATAAAACCGGAACACTTTTTTAAAAATAGCAAACGTTTCTGTCCAGCTACAAATCACTATGTAAACTCAGTTCCTCTCACATCCCCGATTTGGGTTGGAGGATCCAAATTCAAAAGTTTCTTCAAGTAAGATTGGATATTGAAATTTTGCAGTCTCATGAATAATAACGTTAGTTCAGACCTCGGGTGCATGACCCTTCTTTGTTTTCTCCCCAACCATATTGCTGTTCAAACAAAAAAGCAAATCAAACCAAACTGATGCTGGCCCCTAAACCGACTCATGCCTAGGCACCCCTAGTTTAAGATGGCCTCCTCTGCATTCCCCTTTCTTCCTAAAATCTTGGCTTCCTTCAGAGTCAGGCTCAAGTCATTTTCCATGACGCCATTGAACTGTTTGAAGATGACTGTCCTTGATCTACTCAGTTCTCTTTTCGGTTCCTTTCCTTTGAGCTGCTTTTCCACCTTTTAATATCGTGTGAGACTTGAGTACTGTTGTGTGTTCACCTTCCTTTCCCTTTGTCTTGTCTCCCCAGATTGTCAATCCCTGGAACACAGGGACTGTTTCTTATATTACCTCTGTGCCTACACAGCACCAGGTAGATTTCTGAACAGCTGTTACAGGTTAAGTATATGTGGAATTTTTTTTTTCTTTCTTACACATGCGTTTAATTTTGAACATGCTATGTTAGCATTATGTTAGCTGCGTCGCCAGAAATTTTCTGTGAAAGGCCATAGTTTTCTCCATCTTCTCTGTGTGGGGGTAATAAGAACCTTAAAAATGCAGCGTGGGGTGAATGTCACAAACAGGCACACAGGGTAACTTAAGTGGAGAGCCATCGTGGTTCGGCAGCTGGTTATGTGGAAAGATGGGCACTTTTGAACCCAGCCTTGTACCTGAAGTTTGAGTTCTTGGTCAGGCTGGCCATAGATCAAGAAGGTTTGCACAGGACAGACGGATCGCCGTCTCGCCTGGACGGTGGGCTGGCCTCAATGGATGCCCGATAATCGGTGCTGTTAGGCCAACAGGCTTCTGTGGAGTCTCCTGTTTCCTTCCTGCCCTCCCCATTTTTCTTTTTTCTAGTTTGGCACATTTTGAAAGAGTGTGTAACAATCTGGTAGAAAAGAATTTGGAAGTGTTTTCATGAACGCCTTAGATCTTTGAGTGGATTTGCCTGAGTGTGTAACAATCTGGTAGAAAAGAATTTGGAAGTGTTTTCATGAACGCCTTAGATCTTTGAGTGGATTTGCCTGAGTGGAGAGAAGGAACCACCAGTTACTACAAACACGTTTTTTCTTGTGCCAACTCTTATAATTGTTCTTTGTCGTGGCTGCTTGGGCGTTCTATTGAGAAGTGTTTTAAAACTGGGTCCGTTGTAGTTAGAGCCTGAAAGGAAAAGCACAGTAAACCATGGGAAGGAGTGCAGTGCTCCAGATTAGTCCTCCCTTCCAGGGCTGGTGCAGGTGGAAAGGGTGATACGCCACAGAGGAGGGTGTCCCACAGGGGAGGGTGGTCACACGGGGTTCACCCAGCATCCAGCCTGGAGGCTAAGTGATGAGGGACCCGTTTTGTGATGAGATGGGTTGTTGGAGGCAGCTCTTGGTTTCTGAGCAGCAGACCAGTGGAGGTAAATATTTAAGCTCAGTAGAATGTTCTTGAGTGGGCAGCATTGAGGATCTCCCTATCTCCTTTGGCCTTCCCCTCCAGCTTTTGACACTTCCTATATCCTCTCTGGCTGGCACTGCCCTTGAAGGGCTGAGCTTAACCCACAGCTCTCGTCTTCAGAGGACCTTCTGCAATCATATTCATGTATTCAGAAAGAACCGACAGCTAGAAGCAGCAGGTGCGGTTCTTCAGCAGGTGTGGTGTGCTGGCCTCGCGGCTTGGGAGAGACATGTGAGAGCCCTGGTTCCTAGATCGTCCCTTCTAGATAGTTTGTTTCAAAAAAAAAGGAGGTACAATTTTGCCCTACATTCTTTGTCCTAGATTAAGTGACATAATCAGCCTAAAACAAAGGCTCAGGTAAAATCGGATGTGAGGTGTGTTTCACGTGGGGCCCACTTCGCCCCAGCTGAGGCACATAGGAGGCCTCTCAGAGAGCGGGGCGAGCAACAGGAACACGGAGATGCTGCCCGCAGGGAAGTGAGACAGGACCCATCAGAGAGAGCCACGGAGCAGGTAACGTGGTCTGGGCTTTGATGGAAGACGTCATAATGACGGTGAATCAGTTGCTGAAGATAAAACTAGGGTGTTTCCACTGTGGTTTTTCATAAACATAATCTTGAGACAGTCATCCTCTTTCTCTCCTGACTTACATCTTTTTCATCTTTTTCGTTTCTCTCCTTACTTTCAAATCTTTTCAAGCTTCTGCAGTTGCTTTCTGGGTTTGTGGGAACGGGACAGGAATAGCTGAACTCCCTAGAATTTGTCAAGCTGACTTTATGACTTGCACTATTTCTCCGTCCCCACCTTTCCCAGATGTATTAGTATTATCTTTGTCGTTTTTAGTGCTATAAAGAGCTGTCAGCTACCCTCATTGCAGCCCTGAAGTTGGTGTCTTAAGATTGTTTCAGAGTGGGCGACTGGTGTTGATCATGGGGCAGGAGGTGTGTGGTAGAATCATTAATGCAGCTGCAGTTACGAGAAGCCCTGGCTTGGTTCATGGTAAAACAACAGCTCCTCACAACTGATGGAGCTGGTGGGGATTCTTTGGGTGGTATGTTAGGGAAAAAATGATACAAAGCAGTTAATTTATTCCCCCACCCCAAGGACAGATGAGTGACACTGAGCCTGTAACTGAGGTATTTATTTGCTGCTTTGTGTGTGTAATCTGCGCCAGTGTCTGATTTCTGTATTAAAGTTTTATTTGCAGGTCATGTGACAGGGCCTCTCCTTTTTCATTCCTAATGATTTCGAAATCAGAGCTTTTTGAAGCTGGACGGAAAGGTCATTTGTGCTGTTAAAACTGTATCTTGGAGAGGGCAATGACTCTTGTTTCCCATTTCCTTACTTCCTGTTTTGTGTTCTTTCCACTATAGTATAAGCGTGTGTGTCTCTGCTATTCTGTGACACTATAGAGACTGTCCCTTGTGAGGCAGAAGGACCATTGCCATACTGATCCACCCACAGTAGTCCCTGAATAAATAAGTTTCCAGCCATTTTAGTTTCTGATGAGTGTTTGGTTTTGTTGTCTCTTTTATCTTTTAACAGTACCTTTGTTTAGGGCTTCCCTGGTGGCGCAGTGGTTGAGAGCCTGCCTGCCGATGCAGGGGACACGGGTTCGTGCCCCAGTCCGGGAAAATCCCACATGCTGCGGAGCGGCTGGGCCTGTGAGCCATGGCTGCTGAGCCTGCGCGTCCGGAGCCTGTGCTCCACAACGGGAGAGGCCACAACAGTGAGAGGCCCGTGTACCGCAAAAAAAAAAAAAAAAAAAAAAAAGTACCTTTGTTTAATTTTAATTTTCTTTCTTTTTCAGTTCAAATCTGAACATCAATGATGTCCTAGGGAATTATTCACTGACTCTTGTTGATGCGTTGGATACACTTGCAGTAAGTGTTCAGCTTTATTATTATTTTTAAAAATTAATTAAGATATTTTGGAGTTAATTACCCTTACTTTCCCCCAGGGATGAGAATTCCAGGAAACGTGATTCTCAACATGTATTCATAGCTCTGATAGCTATTGTTTATTTTAATGAGCTTAATGCCGAGAGCAAGAAGAACATTGAAGGTTAGATGAGGGGAAATGTGATTCCCCTAAAAAAGCAGAGGAGAAAGTGTGATCGTTGGGCTTCCCTGGTGGTGCACTGGTGAAGAATCCACCTGCCAATGCAGGAGTCACGGTTTCGAGCCCTAGTCCGGGAAGATCCCACATGCCGTGGAGCAACTAAGCCCGTGCGCCACAAGTACTGAGCCTGCTGCTCTCTAGAGCCCGTAAGCCACAACTACTGAGCCCGTGTGCCACAACTACTGAAGCCCTTGCTCCTAGAGCCCGTGCTCCACAACAAGAGAGGCCGCTGCAATGAGAAGCCCGCACACCGCAACTAGAGAAAGCCCATGCGCAGCAACAGAGACCCAGTGCAGCCAAAAATTAATTAATTAATAAATAAATTAAAAAAAAATGTTTTTTTAAAAAAAAGAAAATGTGATTGTTTTGGGGGAAACCTATTTTTCTGCAGGGTCCCCACTATTTTATTCCTTAAAGGAACCAGTATACAGTTACTGTAGTTAAGATTTCAGAAGTAAAAGACAGGATCTCAGGATTTCAAGATCTCCAGGGGACCAGATCCCCTGAAATGTGCCCCAGCTACTGGCTCCCCAAAATCAAGTCTGAGCCCTGGTTCCAGCCCCTGCTCAGAGACCCTCTGTGTAAACAGTCTTGTTTTATTTGCTGTCCGTGTTTTGTGGACACTACCCCCTCCAGACTTGGGCTGCCAGCTCAGGAGCAGCCTTTACATGCTCAGCCCTTGGTTTCCCTCAAGGCAGCTGGAGGCCTCTAGACAGATGAGCCAAAGCACGTGGAAGGCCGTCAGGCACCATGCGTGGTTCTTACTGCCAGGCTGCCTTGTGCGCTTGGTGTGCCTCACGACCCTTTGCTGTAGAACACAGCAAGGGACTATATCCCAGCATAGCGGTGAAAAATTTCCTTAGTAAACACGATTCTACTGCCTCTTTGCTCTCCTCCGTTGTCCGGCACACCTTTACCGTAAGAAAATTTGTACTGTAGTTGGTTCCAAATCCTGCATTTTAACTTTCCTTAAACAGAGTTTGAAGCTGTCAGGAGTTAGAATTGGGTAACGCTAGCTAAGTTTGCATTACAGCTGTCCCAGATCTTGCTAGTAGTAGAATTACCGGAACTTGGGAAGAGCTGGAGCGGTCCTTCTCAATTCCCCTAGGCTCATGGTCTAACAGAGAGCCCGGGGTTTCATTCTGCCAGGCTGTAGTTGCACAGCAGTTTAGTTTCCCAATGTCTCCTTCTGAAGTGATTGCTACTCCCTGTCAGTCATCCACCATCACTGGTCAAAATGTGCCCGGACGGGTGTGTTCACCCTGATTAGAGTTAACTTGTTGAGGGGACCAGCGGCTGACTCAGGCTACAAGTGTTGCTTAAAAAAAAGTCCCAAGACTCATATATAGCTTATGAAAGCACACCTTTTCCCCCGACCCTCTCTCTTTTTGCCCCATTGTGTCTTTTTATCCGTCTGCCATGCTCTTGAAGTACAGAGACCTTGTCCCTGTTACAGTCACTGCACTCTGTCCATACCGCATGGTGTCTGATACATGATAGGAGGGCAAATACATGTTAAGAAAATGAATTTCTAGTAACCTGGCACTTCCCAACACAGATTCCAAGGGTGTTCTCCCTCAAAGAAGAATTCTGTTCCCAAATGAACTTGAGAAATTCTACCAGTCTGTCCCACTACTGGAGAGCCACCATGCACACCAGCAGTTTAAAGGCTCTGAGAAGTTCTGAGAAGTAAAGAAACCCAGTCCAGCTTTTCTTGAGCCTGAGTGAACGATTTCAGAGCCTCGTTACTCTGTTCCATAGCTGTCTAAAATGGCAAATTACAATATATCATTGAAAGCTGTTGGCTTCCTTTGCCGTCCTCCACGTGATCTGAGATCATATCAGCGCCTGCAGCTGCTATAACAGAGTTTGCTGCTGGTGAACATCTGTAGGGAAACAGACCCATCTCTGTGGTTTTCATTGTAGAACATCCGGTCTTTAAGGTACACTTCAGGCTTATTTTTCAGGTGTTACTTCTGTTGACGTTTCCCTTTTCTTTTGCTGACATTTTAAACAAACTTTAACAGGTGTGCTTTGGAAACCCTTGGACGATAGCACTCCCTTGACTGTTCGATGCAACTTGCAGCATGATCGCATAATCTTTTAAAAAGAAAGAACCGAAAGCCAGAAAAGAAACGTCTGTACTTGCTCTGCATGTAACAGCAAAATAACAATGAGGGGGAGAAAAAGAAAAAAAGATGCACTAGATCAATAAACACTAGGAAATAAGACATACTTGAAATAAGTAGTGTCTGAATGAAATTGTTTTTTCTTGTTTTTTTTTTTGGCTGTCTTTATGATATTGTTATAGTGCCAGGATTGTCATAAAATTTTGAACGGCATGAAAGCATTTCTATTCAGGTTATTTTTATCAAATTTTATGTCCAATTTGCACTTCATATAAGAGAGAAGCTTGGAATGATACCATATCCACACACCCAAAATAGGAATCCTAATTCTAGAACATTTCTTACAAAGGACGTAGAGCTGGTTATTTGTGTGTTTTGTTTGTTTTGAATGTCATTGGTCTTATGCTGTGCTCCAAAAGATAGTACCACTATTTCCCAAAGTGTTCAGACATCTGGGTAACAAGCAAGGAGTCAGTTTTCCAGATGTTTCGGTCTCCTGGGAGCTAAGCACCCAAGCTGTCGCATGATCTGAGGAGCAGAGGGAAAGCCATGTTTTTCGTTTCTTCAGTTTTTGGATTTATTGTTACTCATTTCAGGAGTTTCTGGAAGTGTAATGCCTTGCATGCTAAACAAGATCAGACAGAAGGTGAGGGAGAATGGGGCAGGACGAGGAGGGCTGCTAATGATTTTATGAGGAGTTACTGACACAGTTTTGCCACTTGGAGATAGGATGCTTGAGTTTGGTGGAAATGGGCTTGCCGTCTGTCCCAGAATGTGTTCTAAGAGATAACTGTGCTCTTCTGCCTTTTGTGTTCCTACTCCCACGAGTGGCAAAACCACACGTACAGACATTCAGATGAAGTGGCCCAGCTCCTGCGATCACGCAGCCTCAGTGTCATTTCAGGCCGTTGTAATGGTTTGTGTTCCTCTTTTTAAAGATAATGGGAAATTCATCCGAGTTCCAGAAAGCAGTCAAGTTAGTGATCAACACAGTGTCATTTGACAAAGATTCCACCGTCCAAGTCTTTGAGGCCACGATAAGGTAAAATAGTACATCAAACGGATTGAAGGCTGCTTTTGGGTGTGTAAGGAGAAAACTCCTGGAGGGTCCACCAGCCCTGGGGTCCAGGTAGGGAGTCCGTGCAGACCTTGTGGGCACTGTGTCCCTTTTTCATCTGCTTTGCATTGATCAAAACTGAAACAACTGCCATTTCATTAATTATATTTGGGGCCAAATAGAAAGACACATTGTAATGCAGGTTTAAGATAGATGTCCCTTTAAAGGAGTTTCTCATTATTTCACTTTATGTCTGGTCTCATTTCCTCCACTGTGTCCTAGGAAAACCCCTATATATTTCTGAAGGAATCATAGCTTCTCCTGTCACCCACCGCCTGCAGAAAACCACTGCTGACCATTTGGGTCTCCCTCCCTCTCCCTCCCTCTAATGTACGGGGCTCATGTTTTATACCTTGCCTTTTTAGTTTGATAGATTGCGACTGCCTTCCTATTCCATTTAAACTTTGAAAGTTGTATCACTGCATAACATTCCAGATGTAGCGTTTATTTAAAATTAAAGTTATGAAAACATTTGTTCTGAAAAATGTCACAATCTGTTTCACCTCATTGGAGGGGGACCTGAACTCGTGGCTGCTGAAGGGTGAGATCTAAGCTGGGGGCGCCTGCCTCTCAGTCGGGTCATTCTCTCCTTCTCCTTCTCCTTCTCTTCCCCACCTTGCCTGTTTAGCAGAAGTTGGAGAATTTGACGTTACTTGGCAGCCAGAACTACAAAAGTTACTTAGTGTTTGCTGTCTTGCTCTTTTCTGTTTTTTATTTTGCTAAGTTTTTTCCCCATGTGAGAGAAACCAAGAGTAGTTTATTCATACTAAAAGGTGTTATTTATTCTGGGAATGATTAGGATACTCCCTTCTGATGAGATGATGAAAATGACTAAACATTGTTACTACTTCAAGTGGGATTATTCTCAGTAGCCTCAGAAGAATGGTTCGCTTTCTCCCTTTCCATAATGCTGTTAGCTAACAATTGATCGTTTACTATCACGGCTGGAAAGAAATTCAGGGGGTCATTAAGTCCAGTCCCTCTGATTTCAGGCAGTGCCAAGTCCATAGGGGATTCAAGCCTGCTTCTGTCATTCTGAGCTGCATTGTACACATTTACAACCAACGTGATTTTATTCTTCTTTTGTTCTTCCTGTCACTAGGGTCCTGGGAAGCCTTCTTTCTGCCCACAGAATAATAACTGACTCCAAGCAGCCCTTTGGTGACATGACGATTAAGGATTATGATAATGAGTTGTTGCATATGGCTCACGACCTGGCCGTGCGGCTCCTCCCTGCCTTTGAAAACACCAGGACAGGGATCCCCTACCCTCGGGTAGGTAGACGGCGTCAACAACTCACCACCTTCCCGAATTAAAACTCTTTGTTGATGAATTTATTTGCGGGAAGGAGTGGGGCTGATGCGGAAGAGGAAAGCCATGTCCTTGAGAGAATTTGGCCCTAAATATGATAGAAATGGTTTTTAATTCATTCAGCATTTACTGGACACCTGTTGTGTGCTGGGCATACAGTGACATTTTTTTTTTTTTTTTTTTTCGGTACGTGGGCCTCTCACTGTTGTGGCCTCTCCCGTTGCGGAGCACAGGCTCCAGACGCACAGGCTCAGCGGCCATGGCTCACGGGCCCAGCCGCTCTGCGGCATGTGGGATCTTCCCGGACCGGGGCACGAACCCGTGTCCGCTGCATCGGCAGGCGGACTCTCAACCACTACGCCACCAGGGAAGCCCACAGTGACATATTTGACTTAATCCTTTCCCTTAAGGAAGTTATGTTCCTGTGCTCTGTATTCTTAACCCTTTTTGCAGGTGGGATTTATATCCTCTGCTGCAAAACAGTGGGGGCAGTTTGTCTTCATTTCTGACTTGGGTCCATTTCCCCACATGTACGCTGTAGGAGCTCAGCAAATGTTCTTTTGGACACTTCATGTGGATCTTTCAAATAAAGCCTTTACAGACCAGTAAGTTAGCTGCTGATTTAAATGCAAGGTCTGGAATGAGATTCTGTCTTTGTGGCATCTGACTTACTGAGTCCAGAACCCCTCTGAGAATTGAGTCAGCCTTTGGGTCAGCAACCAGTGGAGAATTGCCAGACCACTGAGCCTCGGTGATCAAACAGGCTGTCACTTGCTCGCTGGGTTCATTTCTCTCCCAGTCCAAGATTTGTTAATGTTTGCTGAGCAGGAGTGAGTTCATAGCAGCTCACTTAAAATTTCTACGTGGTTCCACAGCTTGCCTTTGCCCCCAGTGCCAAAGCCTGGTGCTGCGTCACCATGAAGAGAACCTGCTGGGAAGAGGCAGATTAGTGAATAGCGTTACAGTGATTCCCCCAAGACTTGCTCTTATTAATAACACAGGGCTCTGGTGTTCGTGCTGTCTTGTTTGTGTCTTAAACTTACTCCCATTTTCCTTTTGGATGTAAAGTGGGAGGCAGCGGGCTGACTCCCCCTGTAGTGAGCTTGGTTCATTAGTGGAGTGTGGTCGCTGTAACCTGGTCTTCTAGCCCTGTGGGTTCCTTGAGTTCTGCCACAAATCCTTTGTCTCTTCCTGTCCCCAGGTGAATCTAAAGACAGGCGTTCCTCCTGACAGCAATAATGAGACGTGCACGGCCGGCGCTGGTTCCCTGCTGGTGGAATTTGGGATTCTGAGTCGACTGCTGGGGGATTCCACGTTTGAGTGGGTGGCCAGGCGAGCCGTGAAAGCCCTTTGGAACCTGCGGAGCAACGATACGGGATTGTTAGGTGTGGGGCACCTGTGAGGCCCTTGGCACTGTGCACATCGCCCCCTTTCCTTTCCTCTTCTCTGGGGCCCTCCCTCCTTTCCACTCCTTCTTCCTTGTACCACTGAACCTGAAAATTGACAGCTCAGAGAGAAGGGCCCTCCCTCAGTGTCTGCCACATCTGATTTCTCCCTGTGACTTTTCACTTAGAGGGTGGGTGGAAGGTTTGATGGGACAGAATAATGCTCTTCCTCTTTGAGGGCTCCCTTCTGATCTGAATCCCTTGGCATATTCCACTTGAAAATGATTGTTCAATGCTATAGAAAGAACTGCCTCGGAGGTAGATTATATTGCTTCAGTATAAGGTTCCAAAGATAGGAGTTTAGAGTTAACTGGTAGAGTGACTTCCTCTTTTCAAAAAATCACGGCATGTGGTAGTAGGTTAAAAGCCCAGATTAAACCTGTATTAGATTTTATTTTTTTCCCTTGAGAATTTTGATCAAGATGTTATTAAAAAATTATTACGGAAAATTTCAAACATAGCGAAGTAGGAAAAAGTATAATGAATAATGAACCCCTATGTGCTCATTATTTATCTTCAATGATTATCAGTAGTTTACTAGCTCGAGATGTTATTTTAAAATAGGTTGTTTGCCTCTTGTAACTGTTTGTCTTATTTTGAGAAATATTTTCTTTTTGTCATCAGGAAGGAACTGGATTGGTGGTCCTGGAGCCTAGAGTGTCATTGCAAAAGCACTGCTTTTTAGAAGTGATCTTCGATTACTGTTCCTTCCTCAATTTATTTACAAATTTTTTGTATTTAACAATAACAGTAGAAACAAAACAGTTGCCCCGTCACCCCATTACCAGTGTCACCCCAAACTGTCAACTTTAAAATTTTCCATAGGCCCTTGCAGCCTGTTATGTGCAACTTTTTTTTTTTTTTTTTTTTTTTTTGCGGTACGCGGGCCTCTCACTGTTGTGGCCTCTTCCGTTGCGGAGCACAGGCTGCGGACACGCAGGCTCAGCAGCCATGGCTCACGAGCCCAGCCGCTCTGCGGCATGCGGGATCTTCCCGGACCGGGGCACGAACCTGCGTCCCCTGCATCGGCAGGCAGACTCTCAACCACCACGCCACCAGGGAAGCCCCATGTGCAACTTTTGTATACTTTCAAATTATAATATAGATATTTTTATTCTGCCTTTCATTTGGCAAATCCTGCAGGTGGTTTCAAGTTGTTATCTTGTTTTCACAGTTATTGTCTTTAAAATCTATATGACAGTCCATTAACTCTTCTGATGTTGGACATTCGGATTATTTCTGTTTTTGTTTTTTTTTTTCCATTTTACAGATAATGTAAATTATATAATCCATCATTCTCTGATGAACAACACCCTTTAGGCTTTTGAAATGCATTGTCAATCTGGAAAAACAACACGACAAGCCTAGTTTTCTTGTGCATTAAACGGTTTCCCCATTTTTGTGTCAGTGTTGAAACACTGTATGTTCAGGAAGCTCCGGCCGTGCATGCTGCTGATAGGACCGATAAAGACGAGAGGGCCACGCATTCATCCCTCCTCTTCCTGTGAGGGACGAAAGTGCTGAGGAGCAGTGGGGCTGAAGTAGGAGGCCCCCCTGCCCCCCACCCGGGGGCCCTGACGAGCTTGCTTGTTTTCACAGGCAATGTTGTGAACATTCAGACGGGCCATTGGGTCGGAAAGCAGAGTGGCTTGGGTGCCGGACTGGACTCCTTCTATGAATACCTCTTGAAATCGTACATTCTCTTTGGAGAAAAAGAAGACCTAGAAATGTTTAATGCTGTATATAAGAGTATTCAGAACTACTTAAGAAGAGGGTATGTCTCCTCACCATCTCTCTTACTGTCCCGTCAAGCAAATAGAATGTATTGTGAAATGTTCGTATTTTTCTCAACATAGATTCACAGGGTCTTTTGGTCTCTGCCCTCATTTTACTGCCTCCTAGTTGTTTGTTAGTCATTTGAGGGGGTGGTGAAGAGGTGTATTAGCTATTAACTGCTGCGTAACAAATTACCCTGAAACCTAGTGGCTTAAAACAGCAAACATTATCTCACCCATTTTCTGAGGGTCAGGAAGCCAGGAGCAGCTGGGCTGATCCAGGGGCTCTCACGAGGTCATCCACAAGCTATTGGTGAGGGCTGCAGCCTTGTCACAGCTCACTCAGGGCTGGAGGGTCCCCTCCTAGGCTTCAGTTCTTCACGTGCTGTGGCTGGAAGTGTCAGTTCCTTGCCATATGGGCCTCTTTGTAGGCAGCTCATGGCAGCTGGCTTCCTCAGAATGAGTGATCTGAGAGAGATGGAAAGAGAGCCACCAGAATGGATGCCATATGCTTTCATGCCCTAACCTCAGAATGACAACCAGCACTTCTGCTGGACACTGTTGGTCACACAGACCAGGGCTGATGTAGTCTGTGAGGGTACTGCACAAGGGTGTGACAGCCAGGAGGCAGGGGTCACTGGGGGCCGCCTGGAGACTGGCTGCCACAAGAGTGACACATCCCTAGGTTTCGCTGGTTTTAATTGCACATAGAGCTGTAATGCGGCACAGCTGTATTGGTTCTTTCACTTTCTAAAGAAGTTGGGATTGATCTTTATACTTGATGAGAGAAAGGACAGTTACCACCTTCTTTTCCCTCTGTGTTTGTTTAAAACAGCTTTGTCTGCCACTTGTCAGTTGTGCATTCAGGATGGCAGAAGAGAAGTGCCATTCGAAGCTGCAGAGGCCTCGACCCTGGTGCCACCTCTGTCTTCCCTGGGTCTTCCCTTGTGCACATGTGTGTGTTAAGTGGCCAGTGCAAGTGATAGCTACTAGTTGCCTGCCCATTTCTACCCTAGCTGTTGTAGGATCATTCAAGTGATGTGTTTTAGTAAGAGGCTGTTTGGCCAGAGTTCAATCCTTTTCGATTTTTAAAGCCCCTGAATTTACTAAATTAGTAGTAATCACTGAGCTTCTTGCTCTGAGGTGTTCCTCCAGGCCCATGGTGTAGGATTTTATTAGAGAAGAGACTCTTTTTGTGTGTGCAGAAATAACCAGACTTCGCCACTCAGGTCAAAACTGACCCATGCTATATACCAAATTACGTGGAAGTATTTCTCAAACCTGATTGTCAAAGTGCTTTCTGCAAAATGCAGTGCAATCCCAATGTGTTACCATGGCTGAGTTTAGAACTTTTATCCTTTAGTAAGTGTCATCTTATGCTAGAGTCTTGTATTGAGAGGTAGAGGCAGCCTGTCTCCAAAGGTTTAAAGAATGAGTGAGGAGAAAAGGTTAATGTTGATTCCATCTAAGTGACACTGCCAGGGGCTGCTGGGGGGACAGAGCCTGAGCTGTTCCTCTTTCTTCCCCTTCGGCCGCTCTGCGTGGCTCCTCAGTCGGGAAGCCTGTAACGAGGGGGAAGGGGACCCGCCCCTCTACGTCAACGTGAACATGTCCAGCGGGCAGCTGATGAACACGTGGATCGACTCTCTGCAGGCGTTCTTCCCAGGACTGCAGGTATTTCGCAGTCCTGTTTGCTAAGCAATAGCAGTCAGTGGAAAAGGGCTTTCTCCCCCCTCTGTTTTCTTTTTATGGTACCAGAACATTCTCTGGCTCCTTCAGATTTGGGAGGTGAATAGCACAGTACGTCCCCACTATTCTCTTTGGACATTACTCCACGCTAAACCAGTGCAAAGCCATGCCAGAAAAGTAACGGTGTGTGACTTTTGGGTGATTCATGTCTCAGTTGTCCATTCTCCATTCACGAGTACAGCTAGCCTCTTGTCCTGTGCAGTTCTCAGGGCTTTGGCATTGATGGCCAGATGGGGGGTGCGGGGTCTGTCTGGGAAGCTCCTTTTGGGTTGGTTTTGTCTCCAGCCACGTTTGTAGGTCAGGTGACCAGTGTGGGGAGGGGGAAACCCAGGGCCTGTGTCACGTCTTGCCGCTCTGAGAACAGTGTCTTAGCCTGGTGACCTGCGCCTTCCCTGTAGGTTCTGATAGGAGACGTGGAAGACGCCATCTGCCTGCACGCCTTCTACTACGCCATATGGAAGCGCTACGGGGCCCTCCCCGAGAGGTACAACTGGCAGCTGCAGGCCCCCGACGTGCTCTTCTATCCACTGAGACCTGAGCTGGTGGAGTCTACGTATCTCCTCTACCAGGTACGAGAGCTTGTTGAACAGTAGTTTGTGTTGAAATGCTGGGAAGACCTGTAGCAGTTGGTTCGTAGGGAACACTTGCTGACAGGTGGGGAATAGTGTTATTTCACAGCGACCGTTAGAGTGACCACCGGCCCAGAGCCTTGTTAGCGCTCAGTGTCTGTCCTGGTCTCACGGGACAGGGAAGACGTCTGCGGTCATGTACGCGTTTGCCCTACATTCTGCAAAGCTGAGTCGTATCTTTACTGCAGGGCTTGTTTCTCACATCCTTCAATCAAGAGGAAGATTTGGTACTCTCTGTTTTCCAAATTTATTTGACCAAACAACTCTTGTTGGGGGATGCATTTCTGTTCTCATGTACTGTGGAACCCTGGTCTGTGTAAAGTATTCAGACAGAAAAATTATTTTTCTTAGTTGGAAAGGGAATCATCTGGGATTGCCTGAGTGCCTACTTTTGTTTAATCGTTCAAAAACACATACAGTGTTCCTCTTTTGTGGAATTACTTGAATGCCAGAGGAAATGTCACTCTAACTGTGAAGAATCTTCTCCCCGACGGTTTAAGGGCGATATTTATACCTCTGGGCGTGCCATACATATATACACATCGAGAGTTGTCAGCCATTCGCAAATTCAGCAGCACGAGCTGCTCACTTTCCAAGAAGCTGGCCCTCCGTGCGTTCGGCAGACACGTGTAGTGGGCAGGCCCTCACAAGGAGACCTCATGAGCTCTGGTAGTAGGATTAGTAGTTTAGATTTATTCCATAGTTTTTTTTAGCACCGAATCCTTGCCATTTGTTCTGAAAAAGGGAGAAATCCTATGCAACTGGTAACTGACTTCAGGTGTAGAGAGACCTTGTGAGTTGTATGTAAGCTCTCAGGGGTGGGGAGGTAGCCTCTGATTTTGCCTCCCGGATCCCAGATCCCAGGGTAGGGTCCGGCCACTCACGCTGCGAGGGTGACACACTCGGGTGCTGGCTGCGTTCTCCTCTTAAGCTTAGGTCTGTTGCCTTTGGGTTGATGCCTCTTTGTTTTGTCACTGCTTCTTTCTTCTTGCAGCTTCTTCCTCATGTTGACTACTTTCTTAGGATCCAGAGAAATCTGTGGCTTTCTGGCCCTGCCTTCGGAAGCTGCTCCGTGTGCCCTGACCCTGTGCTCGTTTGCTTTTGTTGCTGCACGGTTGGCACTGGGCACGAATTATAGGTGATCCCCAACTTTCAAACTAGTTTTGGGATAAAAGTCTCATCTTCCCAGAGACTTTTCTTTTTCCCCTAACGAAACCATCTATGAGCATGTGACAGAAGAGGAAGCAACAACCTAGGGACTGAGTTCCTAGGGTGATTAGAGAGCACAGCATGTGGAGGCCTCTTTAGATACTTTGAGAGTCTTCTTGTCCCCTAGCCCTTCTCATGGTGCTGTGGGTGGAACAGGGGCAATGTCCTGTTTCCCTGTGCTTGCAGCTTAAGTGTCTAGCCAGTTCTGAGGCAACACAGAAACTGGATTTGTTCTGTGTTCTGAGGCGTTGTTTCATTTCTGATCATGATGGGGATCACGAGAGCCAAAGGCAGGGAGTTGATGTGCTCTGGGGCAGATCTTCTTGCCCCCCCCCACTCCCCGTTCAAGTTAAGCAGATTGGAGGTGCGCTTTGATGTGAACCGACAGAACACCTTAATCCTGTAACATTCGCGACCCTTCAGGATAAAGTGAACTGGCCCGTGCCTACCTTTGGACAGTGATTCATCTCCTCGGGACCGTCCTGCAATCACCGCGATGTGTGTTGACGGCGTGTCTTCCAGGCCCCCGCTGGATCACATTCTCTCGTGTTCTCTCTAGGCAACCAAGAATCCCTTCTACCTCCATGTAGGAATGGACATTCTGCAGAGTCTGGAAAAGTACACAAAAGTCAAGTTAGTTTTCTAAGTTCCTTCCTTTTTCTTTTGGCCACTTTTGATTTCATTTGAGTTGTGCTGAGGTAATAGTATTCTATTTTGCATTTTACTTTTTAGAACAGGTCGTTAATGTTAATTTTGTAGGGAAATTGCTTACTTTTTGTGTAGTAGAACCTGCCCATTATAGTGGGAATTAAAATTTATTTTTCACCTTTATTCCTGTAGGGTTCCAGCAGACTATATGAGCTCTTTTTAAGTAACTTAGTTCCCCTGTTATACAAATAATATATATACTAAAAAGTTCATGGAATATAGAAAATATTGAGGTAGAATATTATCACTGTAATCTCCACCTGCAGAGATAACTACCATCAGCATTGAAGTATATAGTTTTATACTCTTTTATATATTGAAGTATATAGTTTTATACTCTTTTATATATTGAAGTATATAGTTTTATACTCTTTTATATATTGAAGTGTATAGTTTTATACTCTTTTATATATTGAAGTATATAGTTTTATACTCTTATATATTGAAGTATATAGTTTTATACTCTT